ATGATGGGGACTTGCCATAAGGACACAGGAACCTCCTTGAAAGAGCTTCCACTGGCCAAACCGAGATAGTATGAGCCATAAAATATTTAAGGATAGAGATTAATTACAACCCACTGAATAGGTGGGATTCTACAGGCCCACACTGATACAGATAAATAAATGGATAGCAAATGGCCAAGAAAGAAAAGATTCTTCTTACATAAAACATCAACTAATAAAAATGGAAATAAAAACAGCAGCATTTGTTTCAGGTTGAAGTCATGGATGGATACTAAAACTAGCAGATGCAGATCTGATGAATGAGGAATGGGATGCTACCACAGTCTCTGAATATGCCTCCACAAAATACCAATCAATGATAAAGGGAAAACAGCAACATCACCAAGAAGAAACCTAGCAGACACCAAAATTACCAAGTGATCATGGTTAGATGATGATGAGATGATGAGACAAGCCAAAATCAAGTTCCCCTTGATATACCCTGAGAAGAATATGGTATTAACTCAATAATTCCTGCCCCAAAAGCATGGCTTTGACATCATCCTGAGGAAACAGTAAACAGATCCAAGTTGAGGAACATTGACAGGTTATACAGCCTGTGCTCCTTAAAAACTGTTAAGGATAAGAAAGACTGAGGAACGGATACAAAGTACATGCAACATACGCTCCTGGATGGGATCCTAGATTGCAAAAGAAGAGAAATTATTAGAACTCTGGTCAAAGACTGAATGGGACCCGTGGCTTGAGTGGTAGTGTCATAACAATGTTGACTTCCTAGCTTAGAGGGCTGGATGGCTGTGATGCAGGAAAGCATTCTTCCTTTAGGAAAATAAAGAGTAGCGGTGATGGGGAATCCTGTCTGCAGGTTGTCCTCAAATGGTTCCAAAAAAAGACTAATGAAAATAGCAATTAAAAGATTATGGAACAACTATGGTGAAATATCAACAGATGGAGAATCTGCTTTAGGAGGATTTGGAGTTCTTTGTACTATACTTCCAACTTTTCAGTTGGTTTAACATAATCAAAAAGCAAATTATTAAAAATGAACTATATTTATCTACTTCTTTGTTCCTATGGAAACCCACAAAAAATAATTAGAATGATGCCAGAATTAAAGAACTGCAAAAAAGCAGTGATGGAAAGAACAAGTGAAGTACTGGGTTAGACACAAACACGGCTGCTATGTACACTGCGCATCTCCTCCTTTGTGTGCAGTGAATACAGGTTTGGGCACTCGGTTCTCAGGCTCAGTATGATGCCAGGGCAGGAAGGATCTGCTTCTGCTCAGTGACAGTGGGTCTAGAAGTGTCAGAACATGCACTTCTTAGAAACCCTGTTGCTTACGTACTGTCATAGATGTCAGCATCAGAGACATCCATTCTCCTGTATGTGCAAACTCTACTCCCAAACTGGCAGTGGAGACTCAATCCTTTCCTCTTTATTTCCTTCTTTTCTTTTCCTTTTCAGTCAGGTTTCAGCTGCAGGAAATAGAAGGTACTCTAGATATTTTCAGAAGAAAGAAGCTCATACAGGGAATTAGGTGCTTCCAAAAGAGCTGGAGAGGTAGGCTCTAGGCTGTGCCTTTAGAGGACCCAAAAACACCTCAGAACTGGCCTACCCAGGAAGTTGCCACATCTGAGAAAGGAAGGCTATCCGGAGCCACCAGCAGAGCTGCTGACCTTATGAACATAATCCATCCAGAAGCCAGGAAGCTGCCACCACCACTATTTCTGTAATTTCCTACCAATGCCCACAAAACAACTTATCGGGCACTGAAAGACTTTTGTTAGAAAAACTCAATGTCTATATGACTATGCTTGTCAGCAGAAAAAGTCAAAGAAACATGAAGTTATGTAGCATCACTTTATTTGCACCTTCCCCATCTTAAATAGGGGTACCTCACTGGGAAAGCTGTTTCACCACCTCTTTCCGGAAGGCTAAATGCAAGAGTCTGAGAAACATAGTGTTTAGCTTTCTAGCCTCTGTGTAACAGAGCAGTCCACTGAAATGAAAAGGAAAGGATGCTGAGGGGCCAGCCCCATGCATACCACACTACTTACCACAGCTGGGTGGGGGTTATCTGCTACTATTAATCCCAAGAGACTGTCAGAGGGACTTCCCTAGTGGTCCAGTGGCTGAGACTGGGCTCCCTAGGCAGGGGGCCCAGGTTCAATCCCCGGTCTGGGAACTAGATCCTGCATGCCACAACTAAGACCCAGGGCAGCCAAACAAATAAATAAATACTTTTTAAAAAGAGGTTGTCAGAGCAAATTTGGTATAAAGTACACTACTTTCTTAGTTTATTAAACTTTAATGACAAAATTCTGTACACAGAGCCAGGACCATCTCTTACTCAAAGACACTTAAATTTGGAAGAAGAGCTAAAACTCACTGACAAGCGAGAGAGAGAGTTATAATGACCTAAATTTTGGTATACTAACATGCTCATACAGTGTGACTCAGTGGCTCTCCAGCATATACTGGTTAAATTACAGTTCTCTCACCATCGTCTATCCCATCTCCATTCATTTTTCTCTTTGTTTCTGCTTCTAATTGAAAATAATTATCTCTTTTTGCTGCCATAGGAAACCTATCTCACTTATAACCAACAGCAGAGGGCTGCCTATTCCAAGGCTAGTCTGTGAGTTTTAGAAAATTGCAATGTTTTTCTTCAAAAAATAAAAGGAATGAGCGGGTGATTTTCTAAGCCTGCTTTTACTTTTGTCATAGATTAGAAAATAAAAGGAAAATGATAGTGATGAAATGGCAATCTCTACCAGAATACAAGTGATTTTTGTCTTCCCCACAGACTATGAGCTTCTCACAAAACAGGCGGACACAGGTTTTTTTTTTTTTTCTGTGTACCTGGTGCCTAGCATACTGCACAATACAGAACAGACTGCTAAAAAGTGTCTGTTGAATGAATGACCCAAACTACACTGGAAGAAGTGGAAGATGACACTTTATCATCATGTCTCTTATCTTCCTATCTCATTCTTCCTCAGTGAGGAACAAAGGAACAGAGAGATCAGGAGGGAAATCTGAGTCATGAGACTGACAACCAGGATGCCCACCATGCCAACAGAGTGGGCCCCACACCATGAAAAGTGCCCAGAAGTACAAATCCTTCAGCCAGTTTAGGAAAACCTCATTTCAAAGGGCAGAGTTTCTGGCCCTTAGTACCCGCTGCTGACTGACCACCCACCAACTGGCATAATTTGATTTATCTCAGTTGGGAAGACAAATGATGTGAGAAGCAGATAATTGAAAACACAGATCTGTACCAAGAAGGGAGAAGGATGGAGGAAGAGAGAAACAGACTGAAGGACACCTCTGGCAAGATGATATCTAGGATCAATTGGTTCTGCTGGAAGAAACTGAGATGAGAAATCTGGACTAGCAGAGCCTACCTCTGGGTAGTAACAACAACAGGGAAAGAAAGTCCAAGGCCAGCCTGATGGAGTTGGATGCCAGTCTGAGATTATCTGCCTTGAGCAGTTTATTGTAGCAAGCAGGGAGACAGATCTGATAAGAAGAAAGCTACCACAGTTTCAGACAGATCTGATAAGAAGAAAGCTATCACAGTTTCAACACTGCATTATTTTCTTCTGATCTCTACAGAACAATAATGGGACATTAGCTCGACTATTATCTTCAGCCATAACATACTGAAAGTCTTTCCTTAGGACTGCCAAGAGGCCACCATTTGTCCACCACTTCTTTGTTTCTCCTCTGGTAGCAATAACTAAGAAATTCAATTCTAATTGCATCACATAATCATTCTCAAAACACTCTGAGATAACTTGCTTGCATCAACAAGTTGCCCACTGCTTATAAACCAAAAACTTCCAAGAGAAACATAAAGATACTTTGTAGAGACTGAAGATACCAAGTTACCAAGAGAAAGCACTATTGCAACACTTAGAACAATCTAAATAATTAATCTAAATTAGGCTGAAGGATTTACAGTTAATTGGGTCTAATCCTGATAACAGGTACATGTGACAGCTTATTCAATCAGCAAGAATGCTCATATTTTTTGTGAGCAAAATTTAACCAGTCATTGTTAGACTAGACATCCTTTTCATTTTCTACCCATTCCCATTTTTGAGACAATCACCAATTAACACAGGGAAGCCCCATCTCATTTAAAATGGAACTACGCTTTACAAATAAGCTTGTTTTTAATAAGCACAAGACATAACCAGCATAAGTTATTTAGCTAATAAGACACAGTTTTGCCTTCTCAAATCACAGAATTTTAAGATTGAACAGCTGTGGCAAGTCCTTTTAAATATTTATACTTTTTTGGCTTCATCTGTAAAATACCAGTGAAGACCAGGGAAACAGAGCATGAACTTTCCACACTTGACACTTGTTGCTAAATAGGAGGGGGGAAAAAAATCTGTCTCCCTGCTTTCCCATCCCCATCTCGTCGAAGAGAGTTTAAAAGGATATCAGAAGAAAAAGAAAAAAAACTAATGACACTTCTCTCGGAAGCCTTCAGGTCAAAGTCCATAAAGTTAAGCCCAAAGGGCTTCTCTTTGCCAGAATAGGCTAATCAACAGCCGGGATGCTAAGCTCCAGGGAAATGCGCCCCACCCCCTCCCGGAGCTCACGCGTACTCGGCTGGGGGTGGCAGGAAGGGGCAGGCGGGGTGCTGCGCGTGCCCCCGCGCACTCAGGCCGAGGGCTGCCTAGCCCCCTCCTCATCACTTCCTGAAGGAAACTGACAAGGAAGGCGGCGGTTCTAGGGAAGAGAGGGGTGTGGAGTCCACAGGCTCACGAAGAAAATGCGGCTTCCTAAAGCAACGCCCCCGCCCACAAGCCTGAGCGAGCCGGGCCGTCTCGCGGGGTCCCCACAGCGCCCGGCGCGCTCCCGGGTCTCGCGCAGAGGGAGGAGGGCGCTGACAGCCGCCCCTCTGGCCGCCGCCCCCTCCTCCAGTCCCGTTGATGGGCAGCGCGATGGGAAGCCCGCCCGGAGTCCCGCGTCCCCCTCACCTCGTCCTCCGGGAGCCCGAACACCTCCACCGCGCCAGTTGCCATTTCCGAAAGGTTCCTGCAAACCGGACGCGCTCGCCCCCACCCAGAGAGTGGGAACTGTAGTGAGGAGGAGGAGGCGGAGGAGAGGGAGGAGGCGGGAGGAGTCGGAGGAAGAGGGGGCGGTGCTCCCCAGTCCGCACAGCGCCCCCAGCGGCCGGCCGGCTCTAGTGACACGAGGAAGCGGGGCGGGGAGGGCCTGCGGCGCCTCGGCGGCGGCGCGCGTGAACAGGCTCCGGGCCCGGGAACCGCGCGCGGCGGGGAAGCGTGCGTGCTGGGGCTCGGGTGGGAGGTGTGGGGGCTCGCCTTCCGTCCCCCCGCCAGGAGGATGGGGCCAGACCTCACCGCCTCGGGGATCCAGGCAGCCCCCAGGCATTTCGCCAAGCGGGGCAGTGGCGCCCGGAGGACGCCTGCCCTTCCCCGGGGAAACAAAGCTGCGGCTCTCCTCGGCAACACGTCTCACTGAGATCCCCCTCACTCTCTCCACAAGCTAAGAATCAGATCTGTATTTTGTCGGTTGAGGCTGGGGGTTCCAAAAGCAACTGGATCTTGGACCCCTGTGTAAAGCCCAGCCTGAGCATGGCGGCAAATGGGGACGCTAGTAGGGATCGCATCAGTCTGGAACTCAGATCTGAAATTCACTCCCTGTGATTTGTAAACACTGTACCAATTAATATTTCTTGTCATATGGTCTGCCAATAATGTCCAGCCTTCCTTCCCTGTAAATCTGCGAAGAAGGGAGAAAATAAACTAGGACCTCCTGTACTATGGAATAATCATGCTTATTTTACAGCCATATCTGATGGGTTTTATACTTCTACAGTCACAGGAAGATCCTCACCAAATAAACCACCCCAAAGGGAATGGGGAAAATGATAAGCGCTCACTGTCTAAGTTAGGATTAATACCTTGTCCTTTTCCTCAGTTCAGTTCAGTCGCCCAGTCGCGTCCAACTCTTTGCAACCCCATAGACTGCAGCACGCCAGGCCTCCCTGTCCATCACCAACTCCCGGAGTTTACTCAAACTCATGTACATTGAGTCGGTGATGCCGTCCAACCATCTCATCCTCTGTCTCTGCCTTCTCCTCCTGCCTTCACTCTTTCCCAGCATCAGGATCTTTTCAAATGAGTCCTTTTCCTACAGTTGCAGAAATTTGCAAAACTCTGGAATCTCAAAATCTAATTTAAATTTTCCTTAAGGAATTCAGAGTAAACAATTTAAAGTGCAGAAAGGAGAATAAGACTATAGCCCATATTAATGGTTTGTTATATAAGATTTTGTTGGACTTTATGTTTGGCAGGACCCATTTAGTTTGTATTATGTATCAAAATTCCATAAATATATCATTCAGATTTTATCATCTGCATTAGGGAGAAAGAGTGGCAATTAACATGAGTGCAGAATTCCAAAATGGTCAGGAATTGTTGACTTAACTAAATTTAAAAAGCTATAATAGTATTATTTCTATTTTATAAATTGTCACATACTTGTGTTTTTTAGTCTGTTAGGAGTAAAGTAATCTGACAGTATTCACTATGCCCTTTTATTTTAGAAATAACTTTCCCTAATCTCTTCTTGATACACATTTTTATATTTTAAGTAGAACATTCATGTCATTTCAGGGCTTGGTTTCAAGCAGATATAGAAATAGCTTCCATCTTCCTACTAAAATTTAATGAATGGATGAGAAGGATACACACAACCTAAAACTGGTAATAAAATCAACCAGAAATCCCAGTGATTTATAAAGTAAAGCATCAGCTCATATAGCTAATAGCAGTAGTGAAGATAATCCCCCAAACCACTGATTTGACTCATGATTTCTTATTCTTTCTGTTTGGATCCAAAATCATAATGAATTAAGCAGGCAATTAACTGACATATGATAAACTAGAGTAGTTATTATTTCCCAGTCAAAAGGTAGGAAAAGCCCTGTATAGCTGGTACCTGGAATGATAATGAAGTTCAAATAGAGACGGTGGTATTAGATGGTGGTCCAATAACCAGTGCTACGGTCAAGAAAGCTGTTTGAAATGAGAAACCCCTCTTCAGCTGGATATACAACTCAACTGCACGGTATTCTCATGTATACTTTTTGCCTACCTACCCTGCCTTCAGTTAAGTTCATGTTGATTTGACTTTAATAACTTTGTGTACAACCCTGTAAGAGGCATGTAGGAAGAATGTGGTATTGTGCATAATAATTTGTCCCAAGCCTCACACCCCTGCTAGGGATTGCCTCCAAGTGAAAGGCTAGGCAATTCTAGCAACCTCCAGTGGTATCGCCATGCTATTTCTTGTTCATGAACCTATCCTCCCCTCAAATCTCTTTTTACATGAGTCTCCAAACTGATGAAGGAGTAGTAAATGAATGAAAAATCAATAAACCTCATCAAGACTTCCTAGTACTTTGTAAACCAACGACTCTATCTGTCCCTGTGATGTTAATTTTAAGGCAGAAATTGCAGTTGATTTTATTTTTTTAATATGAGTCTGGGATAAAAAAAAATTCTGGTGTTAACTGATCTAACAAGGGTAACAGAATGAAAAGTACTTTAATGTTGGTTATTAGTTCTATAAGGAATACAACAAAAGTCTTGTTTGAAAGTTCTCCTTTAATTCTCTCATATCTGCTGGTTGCCTCTCTTCTAATACTAGATATTTGAGATCTTTGGGGTTCACTTTTTCTTTCTCTTCTTCCACTCTAAACTCTGTTTACCTCATCCCTTGCCATTGTCATTGCCATGACATTTGGCTGTTAGTAACCCTAACTAGTAGGATTTAAAGATGGATGTTACATTGTTCCCTTATATGGAAGTCAAGTTGTTCAGTCGCTAAGTCGTGTCCAGCTCTTTTGTGACCCCATGGACGGTAGCCCTCCAGGCTCCTCTGTCCATGGGCTTTCCCAGGCGAGAATACTAGAGCAAGTTTGCATTTCCTTCTCCAGGGGATCTTCTTGACCCAGGGACTGAACCCACATCTCCTGCATTGGCAGGTGGATTCTTTACCACTGAGCCACCACGGAAGCCCTTGGAGGCCTAGAGGCCAGGATAAGTATGGCTATTTCACTCCACAAAAGCATCAGAAATCCAGGTACTTTACAGCTAGCTTCTTTGGCATTTGTAAGTGTGGCCCTTATCCTCATAGTCCAGAAAGAGGCAAAAGCTGTAACCATTCCATCTATGTTCTAGGCCACAAGACAGAGGAAGGAATCAACACTGGAGTTCAGATCTCATGCTCTGCTTTTCAGAGAGGCTAACAAAACCTTCTACGTAAACTCGGAGAGAAGATCTGAGCCACATGGATGTATCTAAATACAGGACAGGAAGAGACTTTTTTTTTCTCCCTGGGAAGCCTTGTTGAGCTTCTCTTGCTAGGGAGGGATGGATTAGGAAGAGAATTAACAGTCTCTGCCCTAGCACCCTCCAGCATCCATGGAGAAACCAGCATTCTCATCTGTCTCTGGTGTTCAGGCTGTAGAACTTTAGGCTCAAAGATGAAAAGCCCTTCAGGTCCTCCGACCTCTTTTATCTGCCCCTGGCCCTTCCACATCATTCTGTGGCTGCAGAGACGTGGGGCCTGTCTCCAGCCTATCCTGCGCATCGCTTCTACAGTACTGTGGCTGTTCCACTCTGGAATAAGCTGGGGATCCTGGGCACTTCTGTAAAGCATCCCACTTAAGACAGTTCCCAAGACACAGGTCACCTGTACTCTTGGATTCCAGGAATCTAGCTTGAAGGGAAAATCCAAGTGTGGGAGGGAGTTTTCAGAGACAGTCATCTATGTCCAGTGTGGTCCAGCAAAACTTTCACAAGGAAGGAAACCTTTTATATCTACATTGCCAATGTGGTAGCTGTTAGCTTATATGGCTATTCAACACTTGAAATGTGGCTGGTGCAACTTTTTAATTACTTAAATAGTCATTTGTGGTTAGTGAATACTATATTAAACAATACAGGTACTTTGTCTAACATGTCCAAATTTATAGAAACATTTTAAACTAAATTTTGAGTACATACCAAAGATTATAAAAACAGGTACAGTATAAAAATAAAAGTCAATTGAATACTAATATACTTATCACCCACTGTAAGAAAAAGAACATTACCAGAAACTTTTTTCACCTCTTTCATGTCTTCCTATTACATTGCCTTTTCTCCACTCACCAAAAGATAACTACTATTCTGAATTCTATGTTTACCATTATCTTGTTTTTTTTATTTTTTCATCAGCTGTATGTATTTCTAAATAATGCACTGTTCATTTTTGCTTCTTTACATAAATGCAATCATAAAGTGACTTGAATTTTTTTACTCACCATTCCATTTGTGAGATGGATTCACACTGATGTGTTTGTGATAGTTATTTATGTTCACTGCTGTGTAATATTTCATTGGATGACTCTATCTCAATTACTCTTCTTTTATTGGACATTGGCGCAATTTCAGGTTTTCTGGTTTTGTTTTGAATTTATAAAGACCTTTTATTATATGATTTAGCTGTTTTGAATGTTTACACCATGTTTAGATAAATTACAATGCTGTCTCTGAACTTTAATAATGGTTCAAAATTTGCATCACTTAAGATAAATGAAGTACCAGTGATATTACTAATCTTTTCCCAAAGGTACATTACATTCAAAGGCAAAAATGTCAGTTTGCAATTATGGTGCTAAATGTCTGATCCCATTATACTTTTTTTTTTTTAATGAAGTAAATCCTGAAAGTTTTTCCTCACTAAAACCCAAGTACAGCACAGTGCTTCTTGCTCTAAGTTTCTCTTCCATGCCATGTTAAGGAGTTTGGACTTTTCACTTCAATGAGAGGCAGTGCATCCCTTTTTCCCCCTTTCTTTTTTTTGAATGATTATTTCCCTATTGCTTTGCCTATTATTAACAATGCTGGCTTGTTTAGAAAGTCTTTTTATGGGACATCTTGTTATGCCAGGAGTAATGAAAGTAATGTGGGGACATGTCAAAAGGACACAGGAGCCAACTTGACGAGGTTTCCACTGGCCAAATATGGACTAACTTGAGCACCAAAATAAATTGATAGCAACAAATTATAATCC